CGAGACAAATTCCAGGGTACGCTACATCGCCTTTTTCCTTTTCGTCTTCGCATCACGGTCGCTTTGGTCGTGTACCGATGCCAGAGCTCTCAAGACGACGACTATATCGCCAAAGTGCTAGGCTATTGTGCAGATGTCCTCGCCACTATCATGTTTGGATCACCGCTGTTGCAGCTTGGAGAGGTCGTTAACCCTCCGTCACTAAGGCTTGATAAGGAAGCATGTGACATTTTCCACATGCTTGATAATCAAGCATGTGGGGATCGTCATAGAATGGGCGTTTAGTCCGTTTAGTCCCCAATGCACAGGGCTTGGGGTCCTAACTGTAAAGAGAAAGTTCCTTGGAGATACGCTGTCGTAAAGACAGTGCTTCAAACGAGAAGCCTCTGAGCCATCCATTCATTCTCCAAAACGAAACGCGGGACCAAGATGCCTCCCCGCCGCGTCACGCGCGCTGAAGTGGAGGCGTTCCTGCGTCGTCTCGACGGGAAGGAAGGCGCAGAACGCGCCCGGCTGCTTGAAGAGCACCGCGCGTATGTCGACGGTACGCGTGACCGCGATGCTGACTTTGGTGACGACGTTGCGGGTGAACCGCTTGTTTCAGCTCCCACGTCAGCAACGACAGGAATGCGGCCTAAGATGACAGTGGCCTCACGCAAGCCTCCTGCTCCAGCTACGTACCAGAAGAAGGGCGCACTAGTGGGGTACTACAATTTGCTGGCAAGAGCGCCGCGATTGAAAGGGAAGGCGCCAGTCGCAGCATTGCATGCAGAAGAGCTTGCTACCGATGCTGCTTCTGCTGATGAGGATGGGAGTGACAGCGGAGACAAAGATTACGTGAAAACAGGAGAAGACCAAGGAAATGACGACGTCGAGTTTGACATGGCGACAGCGCCAGAGATCACAACACCGAAGAAGGCGGCGAAGAAGAAAAGACCGGCAAAGGCGCCTGGCAAGGCCAAAGCAAAAGGTAAGCGTAAGCGCGCACCATCGAAGAGATCAAGAGCTGACAAATCTGCGCGTACAACGAGCCCACACGTTGCTGCTGGTGACGAAGCCGTCAGGTGAGGAGATTATGCGTTTTGCGTACGATGTGTATCTCACACTTCATGATTGTAGTTGTTTGTAGCGATGCGTCTGTTGGTGGGGATTTGGACTATAGCGAAACGTCGCCATCTCCGCCATGTGCAACAGCCACAACGCAGGCAAATCGTGGAGCCATGTCGACATCGGAAGGTTCTTCCTCTGCGCAACAGACTTCACCGCTAACGCCACCTCGGTCTTCGGCTGCCAGGTACGCTGTCACATGATGGATATCAAGCATGTGCGAGATATATTTTGACAACATGCTGTATATTATTGT